CCTGGACGCGTTCCTGTGGGGCTGCCCTGGGTGACCCTGCTCTGGCAGGGGGTGGCACTGGGGGATCTCCAGAGCTCCCTTCCAAGCTCCAACACTCTGTGATTCTGTAAAACACTAACCCCACCGAGGCAGCGATGCCGGCGTCTCTCAGCCACCAGCTGGGCAGCTGCCTGACAGTTACGCGACTCGTGAAGGAAAGCTGAGTTCAAAGGGGCTCAGAGAAAAGTTCACTTTTCCCTCCAGCCCCCACTCCCGGTGAAATGCCACTCACCGTCCTGCTCCACGTAGTCATTGGGGTCGTTGTCTCTGCTCCGAGACGTTACCTGCAGAAGAACAAAAGGAAGTGAATTAATAGCAAGATCAGCCTTTTTCCCCCACATCAACCAGCAATGCCCTGCGAAAACGAGCGGCCTACCCCAGAGCGACTCACAGCGACACACCCAGCCCATCCTATTTCAGGGAAATTGGCACAGTTCAGGCAGGGAGGTGAGCGACATCCCACCCCACCGGCCTTGCTCCCCACAAGGACACAGGCTCTGAGAGTTCAAGGCGAGGTGGAGGGGTGACACTAAAGCCTCCCAAGAGCTCAAGACAAGGCTGTGACACACCATCGGACGGCAAGCGAAGGATAACAAGGCAAAAGTGAGGAGGGCACAGGCACACGCTGCTGTTTGGGCAGCAGTAATAGCTTTGCTCCCCCACTACGGTCTAAGTGGGGCTTTGGTGATGTGAAATATGTTCCAAGGCCTTGTTTTGTCAACGTCCCACGCATTCACCAGCCCAGCCTCAACGTGAAGGCAGAGAGGGGACTCGGTGACGAGCAGAGGGATCGCACTGACCGGAATCACGCGGGGGTTGTTGGAGATGAGATCGCGGGACGTGACGTGACGAGTCTGGTCTTCGTTGCACCGGACGTCGAGGGTGAACTCCACGGAGCACTCCGGGCAGAACTCGTCACATGTGCAGTCCTGGGACAGACAGGGGTCAAGAGCTTGACACCAAACCTCTCCCAGACCACTTCCCAGCAGGTGAGACTCCCACCGCTACCAAAATAAGTACCCAAGACATTCTGCTTGACTCACTCTGGAATATTGCATCTTATCCACAATGTCATCGCTGGTGAGCGGGATGAGACCTGTGGGAGAAAGCAAATCAGGGGAACGACCAAGCGAGACCACAGGAGTGCTGACCCTCCTGCCAAGACAGGCGGAGGAACAGCAGCCTCCTGGCAACGGGGCTTCAGCACCTCCCCAGGCTAATTTCACCCACAGTTTCTGCCTCACTGTGCATCTTCATCTTTCCTCCCCAGCCCAGCACTCACCCAGCCTGTGTGCGATGAATTCGTCATGGAGCACGGAGGAGTTGGCGTCTATCTGGACCCAGTCGATGGCTACCGAGACAAAAAAGTCAGAAGGGAGGAAACGTTTCCGCGGAGAAAAGCCAAGCGGCTTGCGAGGGCACAGGAAACGTCACCAAGACTAAGGTGAAGCTGATGTGGTGCCTGGTGACACACAGAACTGGCTAAACGTGGGTGAGCTGCTGTAAACAGCTTGGAGATGGAGGAGAACAGAGAATCCTAGAATGGTTTGGGTTGGAAGGG